GCATCCAGCTCAGCAGTTGTGCACACATTCGAGTGTTTATGGCAGAGACCTGGGGAAAAAGAGCAAATTGTTTCCAAGCTAGAGCTCCCCTGTGCAACTTCGCTTTAGAGAAAGGCTTTGCATCTGGGGAAGCTCCCGAGCTGATGGAAGAAGGACAGGCAGTTTATCCATTTAAAATCTATAGAAAGTTAAGCACAGACCCCAGCAGCCTCCACTTTCTTTTCTAGGCAATCCTATTTGATCTCCGCATTTTTCTGGAATAAATAAAAGGAAAGGACACAAAGGCAGCATCTGAGCTTAAAAAGAAAAGAAAAAGTTACCACATTGAGACTTTGCAGAATGAAGTTTCAGGGGATGTCAGAGCACCAAATACCTTCAAAGAGCTATAAACCATGTCAGGGGGCCCTCTTCCACTTTTGGAAAACCTAATGATCCTGTTGTGAGCAAGTGAATGGAAAGAAAGAGAGAGAAGAGAAGAGAAAAGAGAAAGGAAAAAAGACAGACAGAAAAGAGGGAGGGAGGGAGGGAGGGAGACAGCTAGTCTGACTTTTACAACTTCTCATTCTCCCTGGAAGTTACAAGTCTTGGCTAACCACCCACCCCTGACCTCACTCCAAAGCTCTGTCAGTCACCCCTTCAATCTTCATGCATGCTAACAATATTGAACAAAAGTCATGCTTTACCTGAAGGGTATATTTAAATTACAAAATCCTAGACTTGTGTGTGTGCCTTTTTTCTCTAACTGAAGTTGGACTTACCCTCTAAGAGCACAGTAAATACTCAAATTAGACTAGCAAGGATGCAATCAAAGTCACTGAGACCGAGCTGAATTAACATTCACTCTTACAGCTTCTGGGCTTACAGGAGCTAGTAATCCCCCAAAGCCCCGAATTCAAAATACATTCTGGAATCACAAAGATTCACAGCGCAGTTTAGGGCTTCACTTAAGGATGCCCCTTAATAAAGTGCACATCTTTCTGCAGTTACATATTTACCGGCAAGTCCCTCTACTTCCCGACTGATCTACCAGTCAAAGAGGTTAGCAGTGTTGCCAGGCTGTTCCCTATGCCAACTCTGAGCAAGCAGAATGGCCAGTCTGCATTCTTGCTAAATTCTCCACTTACCCGAGCTTAAACACCCACAGCAACAAATAAACACCAGATTCCTAAAGCCAACACACAAATGGAGCGTCCCTTCCACGAATGACTCAAGGAAACCTACCCTTTTTACTTTCTGCAGCAGAAAGGTGAGCCCCCAAGTTAGCGGACAGGCTTTTTGCAAGGCAGCCATGCAGCATGCAGCCCGTGCTTTTCAGAAACCAGACCTGCAGACTCTCAGCAACCATCGCAGCGTTTCAAAAAAGAGTCCTCTGAAAAAGACCGCTTAGCTGAAGAACAGAAACCCTGCCCGCCGTCCCCCCCTTCCTTTCCAGGCAGGGCTGCGGAGAGCAGTTTCCTTACCTCTGGGCTGGGCTCGGGCTCAGGGCTCCCTGCGCGACTGCGGCAGCGCTCACCGCCTCGGGGCTGAGCAGTTACCAGGACTGAGCTCTCCGGCGGCGAACCTGCGTTATATACACTGCAGGAAGGCGCCTCTAGGTGGCAGCTTTGTAACCCGCATCTCCCTCCCTCCCGGCCCGCGCCGCACCCCCCCCTCCACACACACGTGCAGGCGCGCACACACACGCGCGCCCGCGCTCATGCGCGCACACACGCGCGCGCACCCCTCTCTTAAACCCGGGTCTGTCTTTTCCCGCGCAGCCCTGCACCCCACAACGCACTCTCGGGAAACCCCAGCCGCCCTTGACTTGCAAAGTCTAATGAAGCCACAAGGTCCGGACCCCATGGGGAAACATGTGTCAGCAGAAGAAAAACTGCCGAGAAACCATAGTGCTTTGCGAAATCATCAAATATTTATCTGGTCTCAGGTATATCTTTAATAATCCCATTACTACCAAGAGTCCCTTTGAATGCCTCTTAGTTCCGAGGGAAGACTTTGTTCCCAAGACAAATTGCTCTGACCTTCTGAACTTCGGTGTTGATTTATTTGGCCTGGGTTTTCTTTGTTAATTCCTCCAAAACAGAAGTAACAGTTTTGGTATGAGCAGTTAATCGGCACCATTTTAAATACCCCAAGAGTGGGGGAAAGGGCTTTAGAAATAGATTTTAAGATTTTATTTGAATACTTTTATTTGTAAAGGATTTCGGGTCCAAAGTCCTTGAAAATCTAAACAAGATGGTGTTCTGAAATGCCTAAGCAGTGCCAGGCACACATTAGGGGTATAATAAATGTCTTTTGATAATAGTCTTTTTTTTGAGATGAGTTTAGCAAATGCTTTATTATGATTAAGTACCATTATTACTGAAATCTACATTCTCATCAAGAAGTGTATAGCTGAAGTTCTGTCCGTGGGACAATTCAACCTAATAATGTGTTCCATACCATAGTCACCTCCAACGCCCTGTCTAGAAAAATCGACCATAAAACAGCGACCTAAACTTTCACTTTTAAAACCCGTGCTCACTGAGCTTTTTCCCCTAGAGTAACGTGCAACGCTGTGGTTTTTGGCTTGCTTTCTGCTTCTCGTGGGGTTCCCCAAGGGCACAAATGCGTGGAGGCACCCGCATGTTCCCACTTTCTCCCCAGCTAAAACTTTTTGAGATTCTTTTTATACTTCTTGCTAAAAATAACAGCAGACAGCCAAATGCCAAGCCTGGAGGGACTGGGAGGTCAAACTCTCCCGCGGCTAGAAGGCCCTAGTGTGGAGAAAGCCCTTAACAAAAGAAATACTCTGTTGAGATCAAAGCTTCCCATTTTTCTCCCTCAGCCAGAACACCAAATGCAAGCGCCAAGCGCTCACCTGCTCCCCCGGGGCTACCCTGCCCCTGTCCCGCACGGGTCCCCCTGTCGCCTGGGCACCCGAACTCCACCTCCAGGCGCCGGGGCGAGAAAGCTGTGCTAAAGAAAAACCGCGGGCAGCTGTGTGCGCACGCCCAGGATTTAGGGCCGACCGCAAGAAGGCTTTTTCACAACTTTTTGGTCCTGGTTTCTTCTTATGCGTGACCCTGTGTCTGAGCCTGATGGAAATGGACGCATGGCCAGCGAGCAGAGGTCGCCTCTGTGACACTGACGCACACGCTTCGCTTTCTATTTCCATGAACTTGACAATCTCTTCTTTGGAAAACGCGTTTCTCTTTTGGCGAGCTCGGACGCAAGGGCGAAGCCCCGGGCCGGGCTGGAATCCGCTCTGAACTGTCTCTAAAAGAAAACACGCATGGACGAGAAACGTGCTACAGGATGCAGTCGCTAAAGTGGAGGAAGGAAAGCCCAACGTAGTTGTTAAAAACAACACCAACAACAACAGCAACACCCCGGGTTAGGCGGTGAGGCCAGCCCTCCCCACCCGGTTTGCGGAGCACCCGGCACCCCGCCCCTGCTCGGCTGCGTGCGCCCCGCCCCCGACCAGGTGCCAGAACCCAGCCCTGGAGAAAATGAGAGGCCAAGTGAGCACCGCTTTGTAAGGGGACTGGATTCCAGCACCCGGGCCCTAAAATGTCTCTTGGAACCTTTGCGGGTCTGCCCCAGCTTTGTGGAAGGATCGCGTTTGTAAGGGAGGCATCACCCTTAGTGGTTGCCTTGGTAGGAATGAGTTTGGTCACCCCTAGGAAAGTCCGAGAAGGCAGGATTGGGCAGCTGTCGCTAGAGCTGTCCCAGCTGACTCAGGACTGAGCTCTTGCGTTTTCTAGCCCTGAGTACTTGGTGGAGCGCGCGGTGGAGGGGTTTTCAGCTGAGCTCAGCGCTCCTTCCCCATGTATAATCTGCACCCGGGATTTTAGACTCCACAGAGCAGACTGTCCCCCTCTGACCTAATTTGCCTGCAGACAAAATCGTTACAATAGAAGCCTCTATTCTTGCCGGGCTGTGGCAGCCGGGATCCGCCTGCTGCTGAAACCCCACCTCACTGTAAAAGCGTCCTTATCCTTGGTAGGCTGGGTCTGGGCTCCTAGGGAGCACCATCAGAATGGAGTCAGCATGGATTCTGGCAGCTGCAACGGTGGCCCCAGACACGCTCAAGGGCACCATCGGCCTGAAGACGGAAGGCTGACTTTGCACAACCTTGGGTCTTCAGTCCAACCTCAAGAGTATCACATTCCAGACTCCCAGAGTCATGGCCCTGGAAGAAGCCGCATCATCAGTACCTCGGCCTGGTGGGTATTGTCTCAGCTAGCGCTGGACATTCCCCCTGAACAGCAGACACAGGCCCCTTCTCTGGGGGAAGGACCTGGAGGTAAACACAGAGCCCCACCCCCCAAGGAGATAGGGTCCCCAGCCTGGGCTCCCTCCAGACAGGTCTGAGTTGGAGCTCCAACTTACACACCATGTCTCCTTAGGCAGCTTAGCCTTTTTGAAAATGGAGTGCCTGTCTTTAAAATAATTATAATAGGGGAGACTGAGTGGCTCAGTTGGTTAAGCCTCTGACTCTTGGTTTCGACTTAGGTCATGATCTCAGGGTGGTGGGATGGAGCCTCACACTGGGCTTCACGCTCAATGAAAAGTCAGCCTAAGATTCTCTCTCTCCCTCAGCCCCTCCCTACCCCGCTCTCTCTCAAATAAATAAATAAATAAAATCTTTTTAAAAAATAATAATTATAATAAAACCTTCTCTTCTTGCCAGGTGCTTCTCAGGATTAAACAAAAGGATGCCTATTAGAGACACCTCACCCGTCCCAGAGCAGCTACTTCTCCTCCTCCCCCTCCCCAAGGCTGAGGCAAACTCCAGTGACACAGGGTGGTTTTTTAAGGAGTAAAACAGATATATAACCCAAGGCTTGCAACATTTTATGAACCCTTTGGTAACATCTGGACAGGTTTCATAATAAGAGCGTTTAGCTCTTTGCTGATCTAAGTGTTTTGCTTACATTCGTTCATTTAATCTTTACGATGACCCAATATTGGCACTATTTTTGTCCCATTTGTGTAAGGAAGGAAGGTAAGGCCCAGAAAGAGTGGATAACCTGCCCAAGCTAGTGAATGGAGGGGATTCAAACCCAGGTTTGTCTGACTTCACAGCACAGGCTGTCATCTGGTGCCACAGAAGACAAACTCTTGAAAAAAAAGAGGAAAAGCCATTGCAAAATATAGATCAGGCTGTCTCAAGTTGGGCTTCCTAAAAGCAGAACCATGGATGAGAATTCGGGGCAACCCATATATTAAAGAAGTGCTCAAGAATAAACTAGCAAGGGAAGGAAAAACCCACCCAAAGCTATGATCCTGGCCAAGTCTCAGCAGCAGTCTGACCCCCTTCATGAGCCTCCAAAGCCGGCAGTCCGCCCTGACTTCACTCCAACTGCAGGCAAGGATGCTGGCTTTCATACTCCTACACCCTTCAAAGCCTGGATCGGGGCTGCCGGGTGGAAAGGTGGGGAACATAGCCTCACCCTTCTTCCTGTTCCCACCCTGTGTGGACAAAGCAACTCCAGTAACCTGAGGTCAGTCTCTCAAAGATACATCCCAGTCACAGGCCTGGGCAGTAAACCCACAGTAAGTGGACACACAGACACACAAGGAGGTCGAAAGGATCTGGGAGCATGCCACCCGTACCCACTGTACTAGGCATCAATGGCACCTCTTATGTCAATTTTGACCCAGATAAGAGAATACTCACTAATTAATACTCAGACCAACTTGTTTCTACCTCAGGACCTTTGTACCTGACATTTTCTCTTCCTGGAAAGCTCTGATCGTTGTATGGTTATGTCCTCCCTGTTATTCTAAAATATTTATTTTTAAATATTTATTTTTAGAAAAACCTTCTTTCACTGCTCCGGTGCATTCCAGTTACTCTGCCATTATCCTATATTCTCCACAGAACTTACTGCCAACCAAAGTTACCAGTTTAGTATTTGTCTTCTCCCCACCAGAGTATAAATTCCTTGAGGGTAAGAATGTTGCTATGTTGTTCACTGCTATATCCCCTTTTGTCACACAGGGTGCTTGGCACATGGTAGGGGCTCGTAAATATTAACTGAATGAATAACCTCAAAAGAATCTCACTTTTGAATCAGGTTCTTGCCCTCCCCATATTTCACTCACCTGCCTCATAGAAATGGCTGAGGGGTCAGTTAGGAAAGATCCCCCAAAAACGTTTTAGAAAGACTTAAAATATGTATGTTGAACGTGGGGAAAAATATGAATAGGTACTTCACACCAAGTTGTGACCCCTAAAAATATGAAAAGTGTGCAACTTCCTTAGTCATTGGAAAAATACAAATTAAAACACAGTGCCGTTACAACTGCACACTCCCAGAAAGTCTAACATGAAAATTAGAGAATGTTAGCAAGATGTGGAACCACCAGTATGCTCCCACACTGGTGCTTCTCAGACTATGTGGTGAAGGACAGAGTTCTTTTTGGGTTTTTTGGGGGGAGGGATGTTGTTTTTCTTTTTGTTTTTTGTCTGTTTGTTTGTTTAGATTTCCAGTGCAATGCACACCGAGATATGGTCCCACTGAGCATGACTAGGAAGGAGCTTCTG